GTTAAAAATTGGTTATTTCAATTTTACAAACAACCACTCCAATTTTATTTATCTGTTTAGATATAGATGTATAGATGACATAAATATGTCATAACATCAATACAAAGGCTGTAAGCCCACTGTCAGCGCATCGTCCACGTGCCGCCCGTAGCGCACAGTGGGCTTACACAGTCTTTTTGTATTGTTTCCAAGGTGAAAAACGCCGTATTGGAGCAGTGCGCTTTTCACATAGCTTTCTGCCTCGCATAGCGAAACTGTGGAATGATCTGTCGTCGGCGATATTTCCGAACCGATACGACCATCAAACCTTCAAGAAAAGAGCGTATTCCTTTTTAAAAGGCCGTCAACGCACCTGTGACTCCTCTCGGGTTGCGGATATCCATGGGTGACGGTGATCGCTTACCATCAAGTGATCCGTCTACTCGTGCCGTGCTTTTAAACTTTAACATTTTCAAACAAACAGAATAAACTCAAATACTCTTTATTAACGTAATATTTATTATCTTCACACACGTTTTATTCTCCTCAAGGTAATATCAGAAATCCCAAAAAAATGTGATATAATTTCAGATTCATCACTCTCAAAGACAAAAAACGGGAATAAAAAAATAATCAAATAAGAATTATTTACCTTCATAACATTGATGGCAACCACACGACAGGTAACCCTTTACAATTACGTTCCTAAAACACGATACATCAAATAAAATCCCTCAACATTTAAACGACCGTGAAACCGAATTAAGTCTTAATCCATTCATTTTGTTTGTAATGTCGTTTAAATGGGATTATATATTTACCATGGTCTAAATACTGAATTTCTTTGAGAATTTCAAGAGCAAAATACAAATTCAAGATTTTAGATATAGCATACTTTTCTAATCCAGGTATCAATGTTGAATCTGCGTGTCTTACAGTTAGAAGGTGACCTTGAAAACCCACAAGTACTACCCTAAAAATTATGTACCTGAACCATTCATAATTGAAACAGTTTTATCTTTTAAGTTGTGCAGTTATGCAATCGGGCTTAACTTCTGCCCGTGATTTCGTTCACGTAATCCCGTTTTTTCCGTTCCCGTAGTATTTTCGAGAAATCCAAAGATATTTTATTTAATCCAAATCAATTTAGCCGTTTTGAGTTTTTTTTTATGGAATCAGCCTGTAAACGAGCAGACAGATCACCTGATAGTAAGTAATCGGCGCCGCCCATGGACACTCGAAACATCAAAGATGTTACTTACAAGGGCGTTATCGGCTTTTTAGGGGTTAGGAATTCGAGGATTTTGGGGATTCAGGTATTGAGAAGATAGTTGGGCCTCCTCCTCACTTATACGACAAAACAACGCAAGCATTGTTTTACGTCAGTGTTCTGTGTGACTGTGGTAACTTCGGTCGAACCGGCCCATTCGTGCCGAAGCATGGCTCTCCCACACTTAAAGTTATAAATAGTGTAACTAACAAGACTTTCTTTTATATGCATTTTGTATTACAGATTTCATTCCTGCTGGATTTTTAATTTTTCGATAAGTTAGACGAGTGGATATACAATTCGGACAATTTTTTTTTATCGATACTAGGTTTTTCAGTAATTATTAAGTATTATCATTCCATTGATTGTCTGAATCGCTGAACGCTGATGGATGAGGAGAGAAAGGGGAAAGGAAATGCATAAAACCGAAAAAAATAGCAGAAAAAGGAGGAGGACTGAACCTAGCAGTGGACGAAGCTAAACTGAGATTATGACAAAGGAGGTCGCAACAATCGTATACGTATATTCCAGTACTCACCTCTCGTTTTATAATAGGTCTGGTCCACGATTCTCTCCATATCAGAGATCAGGCGTGGGATGTAGTCAGCAAACCGATGCTCAGCTGTGATCACCATGCCGTTAGACTGGGCTAGTTCCTGGGAACGAAATATAATTGTTTAAAAGGTAATATAGAAGGTTGGAGTGTTTGAAATAATAATTCAAATACATATATTATATTTTAATATATTGACTCGGTTTAACAAACTGTGTGAAGTTTATGGTAACAAATATAAAATTAATTATTACCCAAATCGTAATATGCAGTCAACAAATTGTCAAAACCGAACTTCTAATTTATTCCTTAAAAAAAGATTGTACACGATAATTTTATACAAGACCTTGTGACACTCGTAAAAAGATGATCCAACAGAAGTTAATGTACTCTAAGAATTAGGTAACGATCTGTTAACTTAATAGCGTACTTAAATTTTACTATTTCCTAACAGACACTTGTTGCTAGACATTATAGTGAAGTGTCAGGTTTTCAGTAACATTTTGTTGAGTCACTCCGACTAACGGTTATTTTCCCATCAGTCGCGCTTGTCCTGCTTCTCCGTTTTCAGGAATCACAGATGAGAGAAATGTTGTTAAGGGCCAATTTTTCAAACATCAATATTTTTTTATTGTAGAATGTACGTTTGACAGTTTTAAGTATGGAAGGATTGTCAAATGTTCAAAGTTATCCTCAGTTAAAATTTATTACTGGCGTTGGAAAAATTGGCTTTAAGATTTTCAATTTCTGTAATCTTCAACATTCCACGAAATCTGATCACAGCTCATTACTGACTTAACTTTAAGAGGAAAGGCCATGAGTATCCTTTCCTTCGGAGAATTCATTTATCCAGTCTTAGTATAGTAATAAAAAATATTATTTCAAGTCCTTTTTTAACAAACAAAGATTCCTCGACTTTAACAATGTCACCTCGTTATTTAAAACAAAATTATTTTTCTATAAATAAATATTTTTTCTAACAAATATTATAAAATGTCTAGGTATTTATACAAATAAAAATATGATAAAATTCTGAAGGCGTCAGAGATATTATTAAAATATTTTTCACGTGAATAGCTGATGCTAATAAATAACATGAATTTAGATTATAAAGATGATATTATATTTTACCGTGTCAAGGTCAAACCATTGTGTAAGAAATTAATCGGTTACAAAATCAATTTATAAGACTTTAAACGATATTTTATGATTCATTGGATGTCTGTAGTAGATGACCCACATTTTATGATTGTATTCGCTGAACATTAATACACATTATCATCATTCTATTGTTTGACTAAAATCAAGAAAATCACTTTGCTTTAATCCATTTTTCATCACTTTTGTGGTTTCATGAAAATTTCAATAAAACATTATATGAGTTTTGCTAACTTGGAACTAACACAGCATTCGTATTTTTTTTATAATATCATGTCCATTCGTGAGAAAGTCATGCTGCGCGCTGCGGCACAAATGGATTAGCTTAACCGGAGTGATGACGTATAACAAACAGTATGGTGTGAGAATATGGTAACAATATGGCAATCTCCCTAACAAAGGGTGAAAAATGGACTTGTAACTCATCTGATCTGATTTAGGTGATTCTCCTACAAGTCATCAAACTAATTATATTAGAAATGTTTTACTCAATGTCACCTTTTTAAGCCTCCTGGTGTTGCGGGTGTCTATAATCAATACTGATTGCTTACCATCACGACATCCATCGGTTCGTTTGTTATCCCATGAACAACTCACTTTACCTACATAAAAACTCACCTTAATGGCATCCAATTGCTGTGCAGCAGCCGTCAGTTCATCACCAGCTACTATAGCGAACTTTGACCAGCCGAATGCCTTCAGGAGCGCCACGACTGACTTGCTGGCTTTGTAGGCTGGAGGCAAGGTCCTTGCGAAGGTGGCTCCAAGACCAGAACCCTTCTCAAATGAGCCGTGAGCACCAGCACATTTCTGTCAAACAAAATTCCTTGGTTACATCCTTGGTACATGTATCATACACAACCGCTTCTGAGAGTCCGAAACTGGAAAAGTCAGCAGGATGTCTATAGGGACTTCCTCTACGTAAGAGTCTTAAACTTCCCGCTCAGCAAACGAGTTGGATATTATCGTTCAAGAGGTTCAGGTTAACCACAGAAGGCTGTCCCGCCCGGTCTCTGTCATATGTTTCCTTTAACAGATTTTTACAATACCTATACGAAGAGCAGGGGTGGTGTCATATATATTCTAGTTTGTCTTTATCATACGGCTTATGAAATAATACATTTTTATTTGACTATAACTGTTACTGAAATTCGTTGTACGGTTGGCACAGTGGTTGCGTAACCAGCTCCTGTGCGACGTGTCACAAGCTTAAATCTCAAAGTCAGAAAGTTCGGCGGTGTTTCACCAGCGTGACTTGAAAAGCACGTGGTCCTGCACCTAATCTCTCTTCGGTCGTGTCGGTCTGCCGTTCCATCGGGTTCTACAGTGAGGGAACGGAGAGTGCATTTGTGTTTGTGCACGCACTTGAGTACTATAATTTCTCCTGCGTAATGGGCTAGTCTAGTTAGCCTGGCCACCATGATAGAAATCGATCGTGAGATTTGTATTGTTGTATCTAACAATGTTTTATCTAGTTTCCTTCTAACCTAAATATCTTAAATTCTAGCTTATGATACAATGTATCTAAACTTAAACTTCGAGGCCAAATTAACAGCTCAGTACTAAATTGTTGAAGTCAAGAATTTGTACAACATACATTTTAGAAGAGGTGGTTTAACGTTAAATCTTACAAAGTTTCACACGCAATTTCGCTTTAATGTAATTAAAAGAATGTTATATTCGTTTATCTGAGTCTACTGTGTCGAGTGCCAGAACTTTTTAGAGTATTTATATTATTATGTATAAGGTATAAATACGTCTTCTATCCCCAAGGTAGATGTGCACATTACGGTACATAATGCCACAGTTTAAGAGGTTAGACTCCATGCTACTGAGATTTTAAAAAAAACTGTAATGCTTTGCCCGACCCAGGGAACCGAAAACAATACCCCTTGCCCGGCAGTTGCATCCACTCTACCATTACGGCAGTCATCAATAATTATAATTATGTCTAAGTAATCCGTACTCGCTATTTCTATAGTAGTAGTATAATTTATAGTTCTTGGTCCATTGCGATTGTCTCATTTATCGAGTTGTAATTACAATTGTAGAATAAGTGGCTTCGAGTTTTATTCTTTACTCGAACCAGGTACACCTTAGACGGACTTAAAAGTGGTTGTTTAATACGTGTAATTAGGGAATTTAAAATGCGACGTTCTATCATGTCATTCCAAAGGGTTAACAGAGTTCAAAACACAATGAACATGTCACATTCATTTATTTCATTAACCTACAAGCATTATCCCTGTCATTTCTCAGAAACATTGGCTACGTGGGGCTACGCCGTAGGCATTTTCGTAGCAACCGTCTACGGCGTAGATGTGTAAAGGTTACAGGGTCGATTGGTGTGAAGACACCTACACGGTATATTAAATAATAAGATACTGTTTACTATCTGTGACAGAATCATTGGTGTAATGGTCTTACGTAAGACTGAAGTTCGATTTCCAGATCGGACAGTGCTTTTTTGGTATTTTGAAAATTCTTCGGACTCTGGAACTGTGCGCAGTATAAGATAATATACACAGAAATTCTTAGGAGGTTGATTTAGGCTTATCAGATTCAATTCAGAAAATAATAGATGAAAAATGGGAAGTGATATCGTATCGTACATACTGTATGAGTACGTCCAGTATTACCATTCTTAAAAAACAAAATACTTAAAGCAATTACACCTTTTTGGAATAAGGAATTTTTTAATTCAAATCGAGGTTTTATTTCAAAGGACCTGTTTGAAGTGAAGAGAGGTCGTTGTTCCCAATCCAGTGTGGATTGTTTTACAAAAATGTAATATTAACAAAGTACTTGTTGTATGACAGGTATTTATTTTTGTTCGAAAATAAAAATACAAAAGAATACATTTTTGTGTGTCCTAGATTTAATTAATTTTGGGACATTAATGGCTGTTCGCACTAATCACCTCTAAACTTACATAACATCACGCCTTTTATCCCTGAAGGGGTAGGCAGAGGTGCCCATTGTGCCACTGTACAATGTAACACCCACTTTTCACTATTTATGCTATGAGTCCCATGTAATAGGGGGTGAGCCTATTGCCATATACCGGGCACAATTCCAAATTCCATGCTACTACTGAGAATGTTTTAAAAACCCAGTAATACTTTGCCCGACAAATTTGACTTTGTAATACTTTGAGTCACACCTGCGATCACTCGGCCAGTCCACGTCTTTAAACTTTCAATCTCACTCACCTCTAAACTTTCACTTAGCTAAAAATCACTTAGCATAACATAGCACCTAAACTAACACCTTACTTAGGTACCGTTTCTTGTCTCTTATAGGTTGGTAAAAATCAAAATGACGTTAAATGTCATTTATCTTAAGTTAAGCGTACCTTAAAATTTACGAAGGGGTAATTAAATCAGGCAAAACTTTCTATTTGTTTAATCTAACGATTATATGACGTCAAAATAGTTTCCCAACTGCGAGTAGTTGAATAGCGAACTATGCCAACGCAATTTATCACAGTAGAAAATCTTAGTCGGCTGACTGATTAAAACTTGTCTAAGTTTTGAATAGACCTCATTGTATTGCACCTTACAAGGTATACGTCACGCCATCTATTCTCAGAAGAAGTTGTCAGAGTTGCTTCGTATGTTTACACCCTATTTTTACTTTTTACATTATACGTAACTATCTCATCACCGTCAGGTAAAAGACGTCCATTGTTGAACAAAGAGAAACTAGTATTATTACCTATGGATGCAAGTCTCTTAGGTTTTATAATTATATCATAACTTTCGTGAGAATAAATTAGTGAGTTGGTGATAGCTAAATTAATTATTATGTTTTTAGCTTACTCGCGTAGCTGTGTGACTAAAAACTCGACTAGTTTCAATCCATGCTAGAGGCTGATATTCATGAGCAGCATTTCGCGACCCGCGACGCGGCGACTGTCGCGCTGCTACTGGCTGCTATTTTTTTTGGGGACAAGCCCGCCACAACCTCTCAAAACCGCTGCAACTCCTGTAAGCCAGGATCTACAGTAGATACAACCATGAAAACACCAGAACACTGAAGTCCGGCGCGTCCCAGGGACACTGGCTGCTAGCTTACTCACATAACTCTTCCTCGTCAAACAGTTACTTGAGTAAACCCAGTAATACTTTGCCCGGCCCGGGAATCGAACCCGAGACCCCTTGCCTAGCAATCGCACTTGCGACCACTCGGCCAACGAGGCAGTCATAACAGTACGATTTACAAGTACTAATAAATATAGTACTATATAATAATTTTTGTTCAACAAACTATATCCTTTACACTCCTATACTAATATAAACTTGATTTATATAGAACTGTAGTTCTAATATCACAACTAACTACTTCTCCGTTAATAAGACATTGTAATCCCAAGAGACGTGAGGGTTTATTCCAACTACAACTCTACTCTGGGATAACTCACTCACTAACTCACTGAAACTCACTGGACCCACGCACACTCATCAGGATGTGCTCGTATCAATTTAGGTTGATATTGGGAAGAATTAGCGAGACATTGTGTAGTATATCTTAATATATATAAATCTCGTGTCACAATGTTTGTCCTCAATGGACTCCTAAACCACTTAACCGATTATAATAAAATTCGCACACCATGTGCAGTTCTATCCAACTTGAGAGAGTAGGGTAGAGTAGGGTAGAGTAGGGTAGAGTATGGTAGAATATGGTAGAGTAGGGTAGAGTAAGGTAGAGTAGGGTAGAGTAGTGTAGAGTAGGGTAGAGAAGGGTAGAGTAGAGTAGGGTAGAGTAGGGTAAAGTGTGATAGAGTAGATTAGAGTATTACGCGGTACGAAGTTCGCCGGGTCAGCTAGTTATATTATACATTTATTCATTCTTTAATCCCATCATACTTAGAGATTGTAAAGATAGTAAGTCTACTGAAAGTACTAGTCTATTAAAAAAGATAACACGGAGTCTCGTGCTATCTTTTTTAATAAAAGATCCCAATGAACCTCTTTGCAGTGATGATATCTCTTGCAACAACCATCGAAACATGCCTTTATGTCGAACCAACCAATTCAAAATAACATTTTTTTTTATTCCCAGTAATATCCTTACAGACTAATCCAAATCGATATTGAGGCCTCTTATATCTAAATTACAAACTAAATTTTTTTTTAACTAACTAACCATAACAAATGCTACGAAGTGCCACTATAGTGAATTCACTCAGAGTGCAATAAAACATATCAACGTCTTCAGCTATGTGGTTGAGCGTGCGCAGTGCGCGCGTTAGAGTACATAATTGTAGAGATATACAACATATGCAGATAGGAATTCGAGAGCTGTTTTGGACATATAAGCAGGTATAAATTTGAGGGTCCCCATCTATACATGAGTACCAACAGAGTCAAAGCCAAAGCCTTTTGTGCAACGTAGCTATTTCAATACGATACAGTTGTACCCGTATCACTTGCTCAGCCATATCGAGTACCTTGTGTAAGTGTGGGAGAGTCATGCTTCGGCACGAATGGGATGGCTAGACCGGAGTGATACCACGGCCTCACAGAAAACCGACGTGAAACAACGCTTGCGTTGTGTTATGTAGTGTGAGAGAGATTGCCAAAGGCCCAATTACCACACCCCCCTCCCCAATCTCCGCAATCCTTGAATCCCAAACAATCCTCAAATTTCTAATCCCCAAAGGCCGGTAAAGCACTAGTAACGCCTCTGGTGTTCCACGTATGATCCTGTAGGTGATCGGTATGCTGGTTTATCGGCTTATATCATAAAAAAGCTTAATAATGAAAACCGAAAATTCATAATTAATTTAAATTGAAGACAATAAGCAAATACGCATGTTTGTTAAATTATAATACAACATAAATTGCACAAATTCATATTAATTGAATTTATCTTGAATTAGTTAGTGACATTATTTTTCGTTTGTCAGTTATGAAATGCATTTTCGGGTATATTATCATTATTTCATCCCTTTCATTGTGGTATACCATCAAACATATTTATTTAGGAGAACTAGTTGCTCTAATATACAGAATATTAATTATTATGTACCAATTCAATAAATATAGTATGAGCGTACTCATAATTACTGAGTCTATGTAATTCATATTTTGAAATACTCATACTGTTTACGACTTTAGGCCTACGTTTCTCAAACATTAGTAGTCGCAAGCGCGACTACTCGACTACTGCGAGAATCGAAATCGAGACCCCTTGTCTCGAATTCGATTCCCGGATCGGGTGAAGTATTACTGGGTCTTTTATCGAAAATTCCCAGCTGTAGCACTGTAGCAGCAGTAGTCTGAAATTGTGCCCGGTTATGTTGTTGTGTGCTTCTCAAGGTAACCATTTCAGGGATTAAAAAAACAAAACATAAACTGACTCTCTATACAAAAACCATATAAAAGGACATACTTCCTAATTTTACATTTTATCACTTCCTTTGTAATAATGTTACAATATTTAAACATAAAACGGGTCTCGGAATAAAAAATTTGAGAATCACTGATTTCAGAATATTAGCCTGGTTCATTTTCCTTCCCGTATTCATTATTTGAAGGTTCAGAGAAAAGACTCAAAGCTAATTAAATAAGTACATTCGTTCTGGAGTATTAATTTCAATAAAGCAAAACACCTGGTTTTTCCCTATAAGTCATATTTAGGGCAATGTTTGTCCCAGTTTCGATATTCTGCTCTCATAACATAAAAATAACTAATAAGTATTGGATATTTTACTCTGGTAAAAATATACGATCCACAGCGTTTCTAGTCTGGAGTGTGACACAGTAAGTGTGTATGTAACACTGACTTTATGTCGAGCCCGGAATCGAACGCACTACACACGCTAGTGGTAAACCTTGACTGCACGGTTGGTGCGGTGGCTGGGCAACCGGCTGCCGTGCAACGTGTCGCGGGTTCGATTCCCGCACGGGACAACACTTTGTGTGATCCACAAATTGTTGTTTCGGGTCTGGGTGTCATTGTGTATGTGAACTTGTATGTTTGTAAACGCACCCACGACACAGGAGAAAATCCTAGTGTGGGGCAACGTTTTTAAAAAAAAAATAAAATAAAAAAATGTACCGTACGTTGGAAGCAACACCAACGCAAGCGCCGACATTAACCAATAGGCTGTGCGACATCGCCGTGCACGCTGTGCATGAGGAAGAGCCCCTCTGTGGCTCGAAACTAGTAGAACTTTTCTCGGTATATTCACGTTAGTAACCCGCATTTTTAGTTTAATCAGATAAAAGTAAATCATATTAACTGTTGAACACATTGAGGTATTGACAGATAATTACATTTTATATAAAAATAGGTAGATATGTTTCCAATATAATCGCTGGATTGGCCACAATGTGTGCAGTAAGTTAGAAGTTTTTCAGTCTACGTCCCTCTACAGTAGAAAAACGAAAGAATTCCTTGACAATTTACACAATAATTTCATGAAAAAGTAGATGTTTTATTATTATTACACGAAAGATTATTAACAAGACTACTTACGTGTGATATCATGGGCAGGTTCCATGCTGCAGCTAGTTTGGCCTCCGTGTGACAGGTACCATCAGGGCCGAAGAAAGCCACCACTCCAAGGTCACGCATCTGTGTCATTACCCTGTGCAAGAGAAAGATTGATTGTAACATACTATTCAGCATACTAGTATAGATTTAGTTCCGTGGGGACTGGCGACTGGGATTCTCCCAGTCGTGCAGTCTTTTTTGTGCCTCTAGTCATTCTGTCTTCTGCATATATTCACCGAGGCAAGTGAATACTATCGTTTTTTTTCTTCCCTATTAATATAACTACTAGTATTCTGATGTATTTCGATGCGGGATCTAAGACTTATTCATGTCTCTGGGACTTCAGGATTCCGGTGTTTTCATGGTTGTATCTACTGTAGATCCTGGCTTTCAGAAATTGCAGCGGTTTAAGTAGGTTGTGGTTGTCCCATTAAAAACTAGCACAAACAAAGTAAATAAATATTATATTGTTTGTGTAAAAGTAGATATAATAAACAAAATAAATGATATTTTTTTTTTAATATTTTCCGTTTATTTGTAGTGATTCCCGAATGAATCCCTGTTTAATTAAGCTGTACAGTCAACACAAACCGCCAGAGGTACTTTTTCATATTAAAAAATTCATTGAAATTAAAAAAATGAATTATAAAGACATAATTTCAACATCTTAACCTAATTTATTTGCCACACAAAAATAAATACGGTAAAAATTTCCAGCGTCTTATTAATATAAGCTGCTTAATAGGAAAGAGAAAAGTCAATCAAATGCAATCTTAAATCTATCGTAATAAAGGTTATGAAAAATAAATTAAAGTATACAGAGTTTCCAGGTTTCGTTTAATTTCAAAGCTGATTAACCCAGATGCCTGTGTCATCCAGGTCACTAGGATTTTTGATTCATCGCTAATTAATTTATTAGCTTATATTAAAGCCAAACAAATGAGAATTTTACAATTCATTGGGTTGCTCGATTTTCATTTTTTTTTATATTATGGTTATATGTAAAGAAAATCTGACATAACATAACATCACATCACACCTTTTATCCCCGAAGGGGTAGGCAGAAGTGCACATTACGGCAAATTTAATTTAATGCCACTGTACAATGTAACACCCACGTTTCACTATTCATGTTATGAGTCCCATGTAATAGGAGGTGAGCCTATGGCCATATACCGGGAACAATTCCAGACTGACATTTTTTAAATAAAACCCAGTAATATTTTGCCCGACCTGGGAATCGAACCCGAGACCCCTTGCCCAGCAGTCACACTAGCGGCCATTCGGCCAACGAGGCAGTAGAAAATCTGATTGGTTTTTTATAATAAGGTCGTCTCAATAAAAAATTGTCTTCAGGGCGTAAGAGCCAGCCAAACGTTATTAACAAAAAAAATCAAATTATATAAATGAGCGCACGGTTGGCGCGGTGGCTGGGCAACCGGCTGCCACGCAACGTGTCACGGGGTCAATTCCCGCACGGAACGACTCTTTGTGTGATCCAAAGATTGTTGTTCCGGGTCTGGGTGTCACGTGTATGTGAACTTGTATGTTTGTAAACACACCCACGACACAGAAGAAAATCCATGTGTGGAGCAACGTTTTATTAAAAAAAAACTGTTCCAGTTGTATTAGGGACGGCTGCCGAGTATGACCTCTCGTTTGCAATTCTTGGGTAGAAGTTTCAATAAGTTTTTTTTTATTATTTTTTGTAAAATACCCAGTGCCTATGTCCTGTATGTCCTTTACAGTGTGTGTCCTATATAATGGAAATAAACTCACGCTTTATTTGACATGGAGGTCATAACATAATTGTACATAACACGTATTAAAGCACCGATTCCTCGCACCCTGGTCGCGCTCAATGATCTCCTGGATTCCAATCCAACAAGTGATCTGTTTGAAGGAGATTTTATTCGAATGCCTGAAGTACTCCAAGAGGAATTTATGAATGGTTAAATTTTTTTTAAATTAATCTTTACCCGTCTTTTTCGTTATGTATGTCTTGTTTTTATTTTATTATTTCATTGTTTATTTTATTAATGTATGCAGATACGCTAGTTGGTTTTTTTTCAACTGTATATAAATAAATACTGATACACTACTGTTTCCTACTTAGATAAAACGGTGTGACATAACATAACATAACATAACATCACGCCTTTTATCCACAAATAGTAGGGGAGCCCACGATGCTAAATTGGGATTTACTTGTGCGTCCTTGGGACCTACTGGATTTTGAAGATATGCTGATAGAAAGAAGAAATGGTTTAGTGACAATTTCTTCCACCAGTGGGGGAAGGGGGAATCTACAGATCTTTGAAATTGTTAAGCGTAACTTTTGTTCTAATGGTCGAGCGTGTCAGATATTGATAATGACATGCTCCATGTGTATTTAATAATAAAAAACTCTTAATCTGCCAGTTTGCATGGTGGGGTTGAATGTTCTGGAGAGTACAAACGAGAACCCTTCAAAATCCCCCCACTCTTGCAAATCAAGTTGGAATGGGCAGATTTTTTAAACGCACTTCCTTTAGCACGGTATTGACCTACCTTCCCTTAATCTGACGAAACTGACTTTATTTAGTCAGACTTTTTTTTTAATTTTCAGTCCCCCCCTTCTAATCAGATGGGATATATGTTGGGTATATTCAACATGACACTAGGTTTTCCCCATATGTTAATCTGACGCGCTCGAGTAACTACCGAAATCCCTTCATGGGCTCCCCTACTAAAAGGGGTAGGCAGAGGTGCACATTATGCCACTGTACAATGTAACACCCACTTTTCACTATTCATGTTATGAGTCCCATATAACAGGAGGTGAGCCTATTGCCACATACCGGGCACAATTCCAGATTCCGTGCTACTACTGAGAATTTTTTAAAAACCCAGTAATACGTTGCCCGACCCGGGAATCAAACCCGAGATCCCTCGCCCGGCAGTCACACTTGCAACCACTCGGCCAACAGTGTGATGTTAATTAAAAACTAGTGTTGTTTGATATTCTTACCGTAGTGTCAAACTATCCTTATCCATGGGTAGATGTGGTCTAGAGCGACCGATGTCAGCAGCTACAAAGCGTAATTTGTACCCGGGCAGCAAACTCGGCTCCCGGTTGATGGCCGCCACAGCCAAGGGCATGGCTCCAAGCACCATCTATAAAAAGAAAAATGTGTTTAATTTGACTGTATGCCTAACTAATTAAAACTGTGAGTTATATTTCATTTACTGTATTTATATCTGAAATAGTATAGTATCTGAACCTAAACCCTTCACTTTCACCTATAGTAAATGATACTTTAGATAAATATGCTAGTATGTTGAATCAAAAACTAAAACTGTAGAAGTGTAAATTCTGTACATAGAAATCATTAAAAAATAATTTTAAGGCGTGTTACTTCCATATACCGGGCACGATTCCAGACTCCGTGCTACTACTGAGATTTTTTTAAAAACCCAGTAATACTTTGCCGGACCCGGGAATGGAACCCGAGACCCCTTGCCAGTCGCACTTGCGACCACTCGGCCAGCGAGGCAGTCAGTCTGTCTGTCTGTATGTTAGGGTATTTGATTTATCTTGAAATAGTATACACACGAAAACATAAACTTAATTGGCTCGAACTCTAGGCATAGTTAAAGTCAAGTTACTAAACGCAAATATAAGTTTGTCGAATATTAGCTTGCTGCAATGGACTTTACGCTGTAACTGTATGGTCAAAGGTTGAAATTAGTTTGAACATCAATACATAGTATAAAACAAAGTCGCTTTCGCTGTATGTTCGTATGTATGCTTAGATCTTTAAAACTACGCAACGGATTTTGATGCGGTTTTTTTTAATAGATAGAGTGATTCTTAAGGAAGGTTTGTATGTATAATACATGCATATTGCACCCGTGCGAAGCCGTGGCGGGTCGCTAGCATATTATAAATGCGAAAATATGTGTGTTTGTATATGTTTCGTTTCTCAGTCACACCAAAACGGCTCAAGGGACCGGAATGAAATTTGGAACAGAGGTAGGTTATGGTCTGAAGATTACTTCAGACCATAAGCCCATGTATTAACATGGGCTACTTTTTACCCCTGAGAATGCGTGCGAAGCCGCTGGCAGCAGCTAGTACAGAATAAAAATAAATAATATTAACTGAAAACACATTTAAAAGAAATGTACATAAAAATTCGACGCTTACAACGGGTCACAAACACATCCTGAATACGAAATGTTTTGGCTTAATGTAGGCACGGAAACCCAAATATTTTGGTCACAAAATCAACGTAAATCCGGGTTGAGACCATTTACAATGATAAATAGCTAGCTTAAGATAGTCACAAACAAAACTTAGGACGAACGTACACTTCGGACAAAAGAAAGAGGAGTCACTAACGATTCATCTGTTTCATTTCTTGATCAATATTTTCTACAAGTATTTTATTAATTGGTAACGTACTATGTCGTATAAAAGGCAATTTAGTTACCTTTTAAATGAGAGCTTTTTTGTAAAAGCAATATTATTTTTTAAGTTAAAAAGATTACATGGGACTCATAACATAAATAGTGAAAAGTGGGTGTTACTTCTGTGTGCACCTCTGCCTACCCCTTCGGGGATAAAAGGCGTGATGTTATGTCATGTAAGTTAAAAAGAGACATACTAAATTAACTAAACATCGTGGATTATTTACGTGAATATACTTAGAAAAGCTCTACTAGTTTCTACAGTAGTACAGTAGGATAAGTGACATTGCCGCCTTGCACGTTGCTCATGATGAAGAACCAGTCTGTGGTTCGAAACTAGTAGAGCTTTTCTCAGTATCGCGAGTAACCCTCGATTTTTAGTTAAAGTTGTAGAGGTCGATAAAATGAAAAAATACCGTAGTGCCCTCTGTGTATTTGCTCCTAACTGTACTATTTAGTTTCGTTTAGGTTTACATTGTGTCAATAAAGTCAAATTTCAGAAGTACGGTTTGAGAAAGTTCCTTGTTGTTTTTTAACAAGATAAAGTGATAAATCTGAATGGAAGGCTAGTTTTCACTTGATTTTTTTAATTAGATTCTTGGTTAAATAGATAAATTAACTGTACTGACTTTTTTTAAATATTTCAAATTATGTTTAAGTATATTTGTTTTAATTACACTAGCTTACAGCCCGTGGCTTCGCCCGCTCGTTCCAAATATAATTCAAAAGTTAACCCCTTGATTTTACCGATACGAGACACATAATATTGTTTCTCGCGTGGATCCGCGTTTTATACACACGAAAGGCGCTTTGGTTTGCAATATTGGTTTATTTTACACATTTTCAGTTCACTAACTATCTTCTGAAATCGCAATATAAACAATACAGCCATGTTTCCTACGAAGTGTTTCTAATTCTATTGTTAAGTCAGGTAAGGTTGGTCACTAAGCGTATGGTCCATACTATCATTGAAAGGAATGAATGATGTCGGAATACTGAAACGCTACTCAATTTTAAGTCGCGCTTAAGTATAGTTCTGTCTCTATAAATTCATTGTAAAATGACAGAGACGGCACGATATTTAGGTACAAATTAAAAATGAGTAACGTTTCAGTATTCGTTCTAAATTCGAAAGTGTGTATTTATTTCTGCAGAGCCGCATTTAGAAACTTAAAATAACATAATATCAACGCCTTTTATCCCCGAAGCCTTAGGCTCTGTGAGAATTTTTCATCTTCAAATACTAGTGAGATATAATATACATTCCACGTCTATATTAACTTTTAGGATTATTATAAAACATTTATAGGTTATTTTTTAAATTTAGTTCAGCAAGATTCTGCCACAAAACTTCGGGTAAATTACAATTATTAACACATTCAAATTGTATCGTAAGAAAATGAACGGTTATTTTACATACCTTGATTATAATCATTTTGATTACAATCAATAACATATACATTATCTAAAACGATACTCCGTCATTGCTATATTAGTTTCCTATTCTAAAGCAGAAACTAAAAATATGTAACCCAAATCTAAATACAGCCCTGTCATACCTTTGATAATAGAACACAATCACAGTTCCCGCACAAGTTGACTAAGCCAATAAAACAATAGGAAACTTCCAGAATTCCATTACTTCATTATGTAAAGAACTGTTTTTGGTTCCCGGCTCCAGTTTCTAGGAAATCGTAGTAAACAACATATTATCAAAGTTCTTTAGAAACAATTAACATTTGATTATGTTTTGTTGCGTAGCTAGGCTACTACCAGTCTCAATAACTTATCTATAGATTTAGTTACTGGATATAGAGATAAATAGATAAATCGACTGCACGGTTGGCGCGGTGGCTGGGCATCTGGGATCTTCACGGAGCAACTCTTTGTGTGATCCACAAATTGTTGTTCCGGGTCTGGGTGTCACGTGTATGTGAACTTGTGTGTTTGTAAACACACCCACGATACAGGAGAAAATTCTAGTGTGGGGCAACGTTTTATTAAAAAAGAAAAACAGGAAGAAGTGGATGAAGTTGTCAATCTAGCGATGAACCTTTTATCGCTAGATTTGACAGTCTACTTGAGTAGACTAAACATGTTATCAGAAAGCTGTTAATATAGCTGAATGTAATTCGTCTTGCCAATCATCGGATACAATTAGAACTGAATTTTTATATTGTTACTAATGAC